ACATTTTCTTCAGATGCAAAAGCAATGCCAGACTGATAGAAAGGAAAAATAGCAAACAAACAAGAAAGGGAGACACATCAAATTGTAAAGATAGTTTAAATCAAGGCATCTTATATTTATCAAGTGAGGGAGTTTTAGAGAGACTATTTTGGTGCACTTTGTTTGAGCTTTGTTTTACATATATTTGATGCTACGTTTGGTTACAGTATTTTTTTTTTTAAAAAAAAATGCTTTTTTACATTAATTAAAGGTAAGATACTTTCATCAAATAATATTTGATCACTCACATAATTGAATTTAAATAAAGATAAAGAATATATACTGCTTATTTTGAATATGTATTCACTAGGTTTTTAGTTGTGTTTTTTAGTCCTAAAAATACCGCTAAAAGCACTGCCAGCGCTAGTAAGAGCGTAGCTAAAACGAATGCCACAAAATTTAGCAGCGTTTGTGAACTTAAAACGCTGCAAAAGGTCGAGTTATATAGCAACATTTGTTCTTTCAAACGCCGCTATATGCTATGATTTATAGTGGAATTTTTGTCCAAAAATGCCGCTAATTCTCTTGTCTTTAGTGGCCTTCTTGTTCACAATACAGCCAAGTTTCTTGTCTTTAGTAGCGTTTTTTAGAAAACGCCACAATAGATAAGTCAATAGCGGTGTTTCTGGGAAAAGGCCGCTAATGTTAAGAAAAACACTGTTAATGTTACCATTTGTGCCATTTGACAATTAAACGCTGCTATATGTATAAAATTAGCGGCGTTTACTTACTAAACGCCGCTATAAACCTATTTTGTTGTAGTGATTAGTTATTATTTGAGTTTTTACTCATCTCCCTAATTTCAAATTTAAATTTATATTACACGTGCTATTTTAAAACTCATATAACTAGTATAATAATAATGAGTAAAGTACACAATGATCCTCTGACTATAGAGCATTACTTTGTTGAGTCCCCTGACTGTTAAAAGTTATAAAACGATCCCCAACTACGAAACATTGTTTTGTTGAGTCCCCAACTATTAAAAAGATAAAAAAACGATTAGCCGATTATTCATATGTTTCAAAATCATCATTTTCCGTTAAATTTTTTACGTCCGTCTGAACTAGACGTTTACCTGCTGACTGAGATATGATAAAATTAAATTTTAATGATGTCTAATGACCCCGTTGTTGCTTTCAAGTACTAGTTCCCCAACATTATGTTTCAAGCAGTAGTTCGACGATATAATATAAATAGAGATTTGATCCACAAAATATAGCTAAAAAGATTATATGATCAGATTTTATCATATCTCACTCAACAAGTTAGCATCCATCTTAGACGACTACCGATTTTTTAACGAAAAAGGACGAGTTTGGAACATATGAATAATCGGGTGGTAATTTTGTAACTTTTAATAATCGGAGGACTCAACAAAGTAACACCCTATAGTTGGGGATCATTTTATAACTTTTAATAGCTAGAGGACTCAACAAAGTAACGCCCTATATTCGGAGACCATTTGTGTAATTCACCAATAATGATAAATTTAAATGTATAAACTAAGTGACCTCAATGATTAAGAGATTATTGTTCTCACTTCAGGTCTTAATTTCAAGATCATGTATATCAAGAGAATGAATGTTTAATGTCAAATAGTTAACTTTTTTTGAACAATCTATCTTGTATCTATCCTAGATTAATAAAAAATAATAGATTTTTGAATTTGATGAACCAAATCGAACCTTCGACAAACCATCTTTCTACTAATAGGTTAGTTTGTGTATCTATCCCATATTAATAAAAAAAATAATAGAGTTTTGACTTTGATAGACTAAATCGAACTTTGGACAAACCATTTTTACTAATAGATTATTCTGTGTGTTTGGTTTTTTTTTTGGGGGGGGGGGTCTTAACAAAAATAAGGTAAAGAAATAAAAGAGAGGTGTGAAAGCAAACGAGTTTTGCTCCTAAACCCGTCTCACAATCTCAGCTTTTGATCAACATGACAATTGACAGATGGAAAGCATATTTTGTCACATCGTCTAGATGAAATGAACACGTTAATTATATTATCATTGTTGTCGTTTACTATGAGTATCTTTTCAATAATTTTGACTACAATTTTCACCAAATTTCAAAGCCGCCAATTTGTCTCGTTCTGCTTTCTTTCCACACATTGCTGTCGATTTATCTGAAAATGGTTTCAAAAATTAGTCTAGAGGAAGTCCACAGCTTGCCGGTATACTAAACTAGTTTTTCAATTAATCATTTCATCTTCACAATGTGTAACGAACTGTCCAGCACTTTGTCCTTTTACCTTTTTCCCCCTTTTGGTAGTGTTTTCTGGTTTATTTGTTCATATATTGTTATTATTATCGAGGATGCATCGAGTGAGATATGGGTGGAAGTAGTTATTTTTCTAAATTTTTTAAATTATTATATATTTTAAATATTTTTTATATTTTATATTGATATCATATTTTCATATCCTTAAAATTTTATAAATTTATTATCTTAACATAAAATTATACGTCAATCATAGATTACTACTCGAATTTTATAATGTTTTGCAGATTGAAATCGACTCCCACAAAATTTGAACCCACAATTTCGAGTACACTTCAGTTTCCAAATGGTTTGGCTGCTGTGGTGGGGTTGCTAGTAACGTGCTCATCGCAAGGCACAAATATATTTTGAGAGGTACAATCAATTTATATGAATAGTAAAATAAAGGTTTAAATATATATTTTGATATTTCAAGTATACATCATCTTTTAAATTGATATAATTTTTTATATGGGATATAATTAAGAAGGTAATATCAGTTCACAAGGATTCAAACTCAAGACCTACTTAAACGATATCAAGCTGCTTACCACTTGAATCAACCCCGTTGGTATAACTCTCAACTTTTTGAAATTGAATATTCAAACCCTTGACATTAATGGTGTTCGAACCTGCGACCTCAAGAAATAACAACAATTCCTTTACTATCGAGATAAGATACATAAATGGTCAATCGATTATAGAATAATGATTTGTTGAGTTCCATGACTATTATTTTTTTTGCTTTGTTGAGTCTCTGACTATTAAAAGTTACGAATTGGTCACCAAACTATTCATATGTTCAAAACTTATCCTTTTTCATTAAAAGATTGCTGACAGTTTGAGCTGGAAGTTAATATCCTAATTCAGATATGATAAAATATGATCTCATAATCTCAAATAATTATGCAGCTCAAACAATTTTAGGATCATATTTTATCATATCTTAAATCAACAGGTTAACGTCCAACTCAAATGACCGTTAATTTCTAACGGAAAAGGATATTTTGGAACATATGAATCGGGTGACCATTTTGTAACTTTTAATAGTTAAGAGACTCAACAAAGCAACACTCTATAATCGAGGGACTCAACAAAATAGTGCCATGTAGTCGGAACCATTTGTGTACTTTATCAAAATATTAAGTTAATGTTTAAATTAGACATATCTTGTCAACACCGTTAACTTGAGAGTAAAAATTCTTTAAATATTAATTTGAAAGAAATACCTAATTCATGTATCAAATGTATATTTAAGTCTGAAATAAATATAAATATAGAATATTTCAATAAATATATAATTGATATGAAAGTTATTTTAAATTTGTAGATACAAAAGTTATTTTAAATTTTGAATATAAATTACAAAACAAAATTAAACTAAAGTAAATTGAAACTTGACTTGATCTTCTATATTTTTAATAAGTTTTGAGAAAAACTAAACTGTAAAGAAAAAAAGGAAAAAAAATCGATGTTAATTATGCCAGAAATAATGTGGATAACATTTGAACGACAATGACGATTGGAAGGAACTGTATGATTCTGTATGAAAAATAAAGTAAAATGACATATCATCACTATGTTGACCAACTAAAGATGAATGATTAAGGAATAATTCTAGAAGTTTAAAAATGAGATAAAAAAAAATGCAATTCAATGATCAAAACTAAAATTCACCGAAAGTTTAGCTACTAAATATTTAGTTTATATTAAATAAATTTAATTTTCAATAATTTTTATTCGCGTCGAGATTAGAAAATTTCATTGAGATATATAATTAACTTAAATTGTCAATAAAATTTCTTGATGATTGAGGATTCTTAGTGATGAAATTAAGAAGAGATAACGTGGATACGATTTAACGTTTTATTTACGGGTGTTTAATGAGTCGAGTTGCTCGTAAGTTGTTCAAATTCGATTTGGTTAAAACTTGGTTAATACTCGACTCGAGCTGAATTGGTTCGAACTCGAGCTCGACTCGAGATCTTAACGAGTTGAGTCGAGCAAGGTCCAATTCGACTCAATAAATTTACGAGCAGTTCGTTAATATCGATAACTTTTTAGTAGTTACCTTAAAATTATTGCATTAAAAAATCTAAATAATAATTACTAATAGATAATAGATAATAAGAAAGATGTTAAATTATTAAATAATAATTACTACTAATTTACTAATATGTTAGTTTTTTAATAAACAATAAGAAAAATATAAATTATTAATTTATTACACTCAAATATCAAACCATATTTACCTTATTTAAAAATTATGGTGAACTTAACGAGCAATAAATTCTTTTAACGAGTACGAGTCGAGGAAAATTTTAACGAGTTTATTGAATAACGGGTTGAGTCGAACAACAAAATTTTTTTAATGAGCACGAATCGAACATTATCTAATTCGCGATCGACTCGTTCAATAAACACCCTAATTCTATCCGTTCAAAAATTACGAAATCGGTATGCTGATACTCTTATCGATTTGGATCCTAAAAATAAATTAGAAAAATAAATCATAAAGTCTTTTGTGAGTGTGGCCACTTTTTCATTTATTTAAATCTCGAATAATATTTTCATCAATGCTAAATATAAAGACCAAAACGCCAAAACTTAAATTCAAGATGGAATGCAAGGGTGCAGTGCTGATAAATACCAATGAAAAGTATTACAAATAATTGCAAAGCTAAGCCCAACTTAAATTAACGGTTGTCCCTTGGTCGAACCCGTTGAGTATCCTTTAAAAACTTGTCTCTGATCTTCTTTAGCTTCGGAACAATCTCTTTCATATCAACCCTCTCATCTGGTAACTCTGCTGAACATTCTAAGCCAACTTGCAAAATGGACGAGGCACAATTATTGGCTGCTGCGTGCTCTCCCCCAATAGTGCTCAGCAAATTGTTGTCTATAACTTGATTTAGTGGAGATGATATTGACTCTTTCACCCAACCCTTCAAGCTTCTTTCTCCACCAAACATTTCATCTGTGGGTTTCTTTCTTGTGATGGTTTCCATCACAAGAATTCCGAAACTATACACATCTCCTTTTGTCGAGACAATTCCTTCTATTCCGTACTCTGTGTACAAATTTACAGCAACATCGTCAATATTCAATGATACAATCAAAAAGAAATGCTATAGAATTTCTAACATGTTATGTATATGCATGTAAAAGTGGAATTCAATAGGTCTGCAATTCAACAAGTATCACCTGGTGCCATGTACCCAATTGTTGCTATAGTCAAGGTTTGTATCATTGAATCCTCTTCACTTAAGAGTTTTGCAATGCCAAAATCACTCAAATGTGCAACCATATCTTCATCCAATAGAACATTGCTGGGTTTTATATCACAATGAACCACTGGTGTTACATTACCATGATGGAGATATTCCAGCGCGGATGCAACATCTATTATTATGTTTAACCTTTGTAAGATATCCAGAAAATGGTTGCTAGAATACAACCATTCATCAAGGCTCCCATTAGGCATGTACTCGAGCACTAACGCTTTGAAATCGAGATCATTAGAGCAACTACTAATGATTCTGATTAAATTCCTGTGACGAATGTTGCGGAGAACTTCACATTCAACATCAAAGCTCTTAAAAGCTCCTTCTAATTCCAACTTGAAGACTTTTACTGCAAATATCATCCCATCTGAGAGAATCCCTTGGTACACAGAACCATAACTCCCATTACCAAGCAAGTTGCTTTCACTAAATCCGTCAGTAGCTTGATGAAGTTCATGGTACGAAATCCGTCTCCACGTTCCTAAAGGTAACAAGTCTTCCTGAGTTGTTAATTTGTCCTTCCTCTTTCTACTCTGCAAGGTAATGATAATTAGAGCCATCACCAAAATTGTTGAGGCAATTGGCAGTGCTACATATATTATGAGCTTAGCCTTTGCCTTGGAATTCTTGAGAGGTTTAGTTTTGCAGCTTGGAAGATGAAGTTGTGGTGCACCACACAATGCTTTATTCCCCTTGAATGATTCAATCGAGTAGTTGCCAAATGATCCTCCTCTAGGAATTTCTCCTTCAAGTCTATTGAAAGAGACATTGAAATATTCGAGATAACGAAGTTTCTCGAACGACTTGGGAATCTCTCCGGATAGATTATTTCTCGACAAGTCCAAGAACGTCAAACTCAACATGTCACCAAATGACTCAGGAATATAACCTGCGAGTCTATTATTGGATAAGGAAAACTGAGTGAGTTCTTTGAGATCTGCAACTCCGATCAGGATATCACTGGAGAAACGATTGTTCGACAAGTCCATACTAGTCAAAACCTTCCAATTTCCAATGTCAATCGGAAGAGGACCACTTAGAGCATTTGAAGACAAGTTCAAGAAGAGGAGATCGGTAAGCCTGGTCAAGGTTGAAGGTATGGAGGAAGAAAACATATTGGAGCCTAGCAATAGGTTCCTTAGAGAACTAAGGTTACCTAAGCAAGAAGGTATCGGTCCAGACAATTTGTTAATCGTCAAGTTTAAGTAAGCCAAATTGTTTAGATCACATAACTCAGACGGTATGGATCCTTCTAACTTATTTTGCATAAGAGAAGCACTCTGCAGCCCTTTTAATGCTCCAATTGTAGCAGGAATCATTCCCGTCAACTCATTTCCTGCTAGCTCGATGTTTATCAAGCGACTTAAGTTGCCAATTTCACTCGGGATGCTACCCCTGATGTTGCAGGCATATGCAGAGAACTCCACGAGAGAACTTGAGAGATTCCCCACCAAACCTGGAAGTTTACCTCCGATCAACGTGTTGCCGCCCATATCCAACGCTTCCAAGGCTCTACAGTTTGTCAAAGAAGAGAGAAAGCTCATTCTTGAAGAAGTTAAATTATTAACAGCCAGGTTGAGAAACATGAGATATCTTAGATTGCCCAGATTGTCAGGAATGGAGCCTGACAAGTAATTATATGGAATGTCAAGAAGAGTCAGCTGAGAGGCATTGGAAATAGACACTGGGATTGAACCAACGAGCTGATTATTCCCAAGATATAATTCTTCCAGGTTTGGAAGCCAAAAGCCCATGTTTGATGGAAGATGACCAGAAAGGTGATTTTCATCCAAACCAATCTGGTACAAAGTTGAAATATTAAATATTGCAGGAGGAATAGAACCAGCAATGTTGTTACCTCCCAGAACCAAGTATCCTAGATTCTTCAGGTTGCCAATCTGATTTGGTATTGAACCTGTCATAAATTTTTATCAAACAAATATATCAGACAAATACGGGGAAATCTTCTGTTTCACTTGTAGCAGTTTTTCACCTGTGAAATTGTTATGACCACAATCAAATCCTTCAAGACGAGTTAGATTCACAATTTGCTGTGGAATTTCACCTGTTACAGTAACTTTACAAATTAAATTCAAAATTCTTCCACTAATAAAAATTATAGTACCATTAGTGATTAGTATACATTACCTTGAAAGTGGTTTCGACCAATATTGAATTTTTGCAGCTTACTCAAATTCCCGATATCTACCGGCAGACTTCCCTCCAATTGGTTAACGGCAAGAGACAGAAATTGTAACTCTTTGCACTTGCATAAACTGGTTGGAATTCTACCAGAAAGCAGGTTATAACTCAAGTGCAATTCCTTCAAATTCGGAAGATGATCAAACATATCCTTCGGAATAGGACCAGTGAGATTATTAAAAGTGAAATCGATCAGTTCTAGCGAAAGCAAATTCCGTGAGACCGAGGGTATGGAACCAGAGAGCATGTTGTTTCTTACATCAATCTCTTGCAACGAAGATATATTGAACACGTTGGAGGGGATGAAACTGTTGAAGTTGTTATGGTATAGAAACAAACTTCGAAGCTTAGTTAATGATCCCAACCATGATGGGATTTCTCCACTGAAACTGTTGTTACCAAAGTTTATATGTTTCAACCGTCGCAATTTGGATAATTGGACAGGTAAAGTGCCATGAAAACTATTGTTTGTTATGTAAAGAAGATAAAGGAATGATAAGTTTCCCAAGTGGGGTGGAAGGGTACCGACGAGGCCGAATCCGGTCAGGTCTAGAGCTGTGACTCTGCGGTGTTTGGGTCCGCAACTGACACCGGTCCAATTGCAAACAGAGGCAGAAACTGACCAATTCATTGATAAAACATTTTTCAGGATCGTGGATGACATTGTGTTTCAATGCAAGAAGAGCCGATTGGTCCGTTAGTAAGGTGGTTAGTTTCGTAGAGAAAGTAGGCATAGGGAAATGGAAGATGATGAGGAGAGCGAAGTTGAAGAAAGTGTAGGCCATTTGATTTTGGGTGTTGAGACACTGGAAATGGAGTTTGTATGAACAAAGGCACAAGTGAGATCGTTGCATAGGTTAGGCGTCCTTTATATATCACTAGCGACTCGAAAAATCAATTTTGTGACTAGTCCCGATTTGAAAAGACTCGACTCGAATTAACTTCGAGTTGTAATTTCATAAACTCGACTCGACTCAAAAAAATTCAAGTTCAAATCGAGCTATAAAATACAATTCGAATAACTCAAAAATTTTAGTAACTAGTGGATTGATTTTTAAGTTTCAGTTGAGTTTCTCGACTCTCTATAATATATGTATATCACATATTAAAAAATATGAAGAAATATATATATATATATATTGTATATGATTATAAAAAATCATTTAAATTGGAATCAAATAATATCATAATATTATAAATATTTACAATTAAATTTAAACGAAAACTCGACTCAACTTGGAAAAATTTCAAGTCAAGTTCGAGTTATAAAATAAAACTCGTCAACTAGAATAATTCAAGTATTTTTTAACTCGACTCAACTCGATCGAACATTCACCCCTAACTAGAATAGAACCCTTATTTCTGATTTTTTTTTTCTTTGAACTTTTTTGAATGCAGAATATTCGGGTTTGAGCAGCTGCAACTACAAAGGGTATGTATGTTATCAATAAATTTAAAAAAAAAAAGTCTGAACTAATATTATTTTATAAATTAAGTTAAACTATTGAGAAAAAAAACAATATTTTCCTCAAAAGTTTTTCCCTTCGTCCTATCGGTTTCTATCAACAGCTCACCATCATAAACATATGGATATTTGCAATAAAGTCTTTCAATTTTGTTTAGTGGACGAATGGTAGCTGGACTTTTCTTTTGTTACAAGAGAAAGAAAAACATATTAAGAAATTTATACGTAATTTCATATGGGTAAAGTATACAAATGGTTTCCAACTATAGAGTAATGCATATGAGGAGATTATGCGTAATTTCATAGGGGGTAAAGTACATAAATAGTCTCCTGACTATAGAATGATGTTTTGTTAAGTCTCTTGAGTATTAAAAGTTGCAAAATGGTCTTCCTACTATAGGGTATTGCTTTGTTGAGTCACTCGATTATTCATATGTTCATAATTTGTCATTTTTGTTAAAAATATATGACAAATTGAAGTGAACGTTAACATGCTTACTGGAATATAATAAATATGATATCAGAATTTCAAACAACTATCATATCTCAATAAACATGTTAACGTAACGTGAACGAAGGGGTCAAAATATAGTTTTAGAATAAATTAAATTATAATTTCATAATTTTTGGAGAAATTTATTCATAATGCTACTATTTTAGAAGGCCAAGACCATTGTGAGTCTTCTCTAATATTGTCTTTATAGGCTAATATTCCATCAACTTATGATATTAAGTTAGACAATAATATAATTTAATAATCTTTAAATTTGATTTTATATGTAAGATCTCCACTTTAAGGATGGTTAAGATAGAGCAATTTTTTTTTAATTCTTCCAAATAATGAATGTTTGACCGTCTTCGTTTACTTCATTTGAGACGACCAATTGAGAGAGACTACATTTATAAGCAGTTGTACAAAATTTATTCTTCATCCTACCCTTTGTTTGGGTTTGGGGCCATCCAGCTCTACTATCGTTTTGCAATCTAAAGTCTTATCTTTTTCTGATCGTTCAACTTTGGTTTTTGAAATTTTGCATCATTAACAATTGAGAAAGACTTGTATGTAAAGGTCGATATTATATATATTTCTTACATTCAAATTTGTTGACGGTAATAGTTTGGTATCTTTGGTATTTGATAGTTTACCTCTTTTGATTTGTGTGAAGAGATATAATGAGGTAATAATTGGTCAATGTTCCTATATAAAAAAAGATGCAAGTACAAGGGGGAGGGGGATGAGAGTGGAGAGGAATCCCTTTCGGTCGTGGCTGAGAGATATTTATAGTGATCTTAACTGATGATATCAGGCACGAGATCATTATGACTACTTGTATATTAGCGCGCTAAATAGATTTTTTTTGTCAGATCTTGAATTTTGCTTTGATAGATCATATGAGTCTATCAAATGCTTTGTTTATGCACTGTAACTGGCTCGGAGGTTATGGTACTCATGTGCTCGAAAGATATAGATTCCTTAGAAACTCCGACAAGTGAAGAAATCTATCTAGATGTCTCAGTTGACAGAGAACTGATAGTTTTCAAAGGTGATCTTCGGAAGTATAACAAGTTGTCCCCCTTTAATTGAAGGAGTGCTATAAAGCGGTTTAATCCTAAACATGTATTCTTTTTCTTTCCTAAATGAATATGCAACTATAATTTTTTTTTGTTTATTTTTTTCAAATTTCATCCTAATATATGTTAATATTATTTTTTTAAGAGAATGATATTTTTTATTTTGATTGAAGATAATGATATTTTTCTATTTTGGTTGGAGAGAGAAATTATTGTCCTAAAAATACTGGAAATCTTTTCTCTATGATATGAAATAATGAAATATCATCATTTTCCTTTTTAAATTATCAAATTAATAATTATGACATTCATGAATTTGGTAGGGATTAGTCATTAAATTAAAATTGAATTCATATTTTTTTTTTCAAATTACAATGACAACGAATTAATCGATTATGTATCAATTTAAAGCGTTGTGAGGATACTAATCATTCTCACAAGTAATCGGCTCACAAACTCATTTTTTGATACGTAGATCTAAAATTTATTATTTCAATAACTTCTATAAAAAATTAAATTTTATTAGAATAATAAATCTTTTTGAATGATCAAATTACACCCTTGAAAAAATTAACGACAACAAGAGCCATGGAGGTGAAGATAGGTTGTTTGAGTTGGATGTGTTGAGAATTGACCAGTGGTGTTGTTGGAAATGGCCTGATATGCTCTCAAATGTTTTTGATTTTCAAAGGGCCCGGAGTCTTTTATTTTTGTTAGGTAGTGTGCAGTGTCTTAATTGTCTAACCAGCTCAGTTGGTACAGCACAAGGCTCTTAACCTTGTGGTCATGGGATCGAGTCACACGGTGGGCAATTCATAATTTAGAGGTCTCCTATAGAAGCTGCTCTCAACCTGGCGTTGGAGGTAGCTTACTATTCTACCTCCTCTTACCCCAATACATATGAAAATAAGAGTCAGTTAATTTTGTGGAGTATCTTAGTGCTCTCTAGGGTTTCGTGGTATTCGCCGTTTGGGTCGTGATTTGCTTGTTTCCTGTGTGGTTTTGCTGTGGTGCCTCAGCGTCTAGTTGGGGCTGCATTTTTAGTTGGCAGTTGTGGTTGACGTAGCTCTGGTCGGTGGCTAGCTGGATTGTTCGTTGTGGTTCGGTGTAGAGCTGGGGGTGCGCCGATCTGGACATTTTTCTGTGGTGGGTTGCTACTTGTTTGCTCTCGTGTATGCCTGGTGCTGCATAGATGGTTTCGGCTGTTGCTAGGAAATCTAGCTGGGGTGGTCGCTTGCTTTGACACCGCTGTGTCCTATGTTCTTTCTTGTTGTCTGCTGTCTTGAGTTGTGGTTTTGGTTGTTTAGTAGTATTGTTCACTTGAAGCAGGATATGTATGTTCATTCTGCAATTATGTTGTTGCGTCACACCAAAACGTGGACTTTGGTGTGTTGTGCTTTGTATTCCCCTTGTTACAAAGTACGTTCCCTTTAAAAAAAAATTAATGACAACTCATCAAATCACAAATTTGATTTTGATAAAAAAAAACTCAAATTCAACAAAACGACCTTAAATTTTTTTCCAATCCCGTTTCCACAATGTGTCGTGTCATGTCATGTTGGAGACGTATGGTCCCCAAATTTCCATGATATTTTGCCCATTTTCCATAGATACAATAAATCTCTCCCCAACTTTCCATTATTCATGTTGTTACACAGTATTAGGTTTGGCAGTGGCAAGTCTTTTCATTTGACGATGATATGTATGTATTGAGCCAATTGCACCTTAAATTCATTGGTTGACTCGAAAAATCCAAATAGAGGAAGTGAGTCCTGCGCCGAGTTTTGGGTCACCCCTCAATCAGCGTCTGCAGACAGACTCACAGGCATTGGGGTTTTTGACACCGTTTGATTATAATTTTACTTTTTTGACATCGTTTGACCAATATTTTCAGAACTAGCACCCTTTCTGCTGAGTTGGTAAAGGCGCGTTCCCGAGGGCGCGCTTTACCCGTGTTTTTTCGCTGAGTTGGATGCCACGTGTGAAAGGCGCGTCCCCGGGGACGCGCCTTTGCCAACTCAGCAGACACGTATTTTATTATATAATAAATAGTTTATTTTTATTATTATTATAAATTAATAATATATTATGTAAAATGTTTCGATTATAATGTAAGAATTATCAAGTTTCGAGTATTTTTGATTTTGATTATCGATCTATTAATTTTATCAGTTAATTATTAAAATGTTATCAATCAATCTAGTCATCTCATATCAATATTTAACGAAAATATTGATGCATAAGTTAATAAATTAGTATAATTACATATTTAATCTTCAAGACTTACATATTTTATAAAATTAGTCTTATTGAAAATTTAATTTAATAAATTTAATCCTCTAATCAGAACATGAAATGTGTCATCGTATACATAAATTTTTTAATAACTTTTAATTTGTTTAATTTAATATTTTTCTCTACTTAGAAGGTGGAATTATTATATTTTAAAAAAATTATAACTAATAATATTAAATATTATATTAAATAAATATATTAAATATATTTATGTATTTAAAAGTTAAAAAAAATTATTTAGGTGTACATACATTGACAAATTATATAAATGCAATAACATTAAATTATTAGAAATAAAAACATTCATTTAAAAACTTTAATTACATAAGAGTTAACTGTTATATGATGATAACAGAGCTGTACATTTTTTTCTATTGTGCCCGATGTTTCTACAATGCTCACATCGTTTTTGTTCTGTTGACTTCTCCCGAATATCCATATCACAATGTATTCTAGTAGATTTTGGACGACCTGAGTCCCTCAATAGCAATGGATC